GAGAGAGAGAGAGAGAGAGAGAGAGAGAGAGAGAGAGAGAGAGAGAGAGAGAGTTTAATTATTTTTATTTGAATGTTTTATTCTATTTTATTAACCCCAAATCTGCAGTTCAGCAAAAATTTATTCTGTATTTTTAAACAAGTTTTTAAAATATGTCTTTACTTATTTTTTATATTTATATTTTCAATGTAAAATTCTTACTGTTGTGTTTTTAGGTAATCAATTTTAAGATCTATTCAGGGACAACAGATGAAAAACAACCTTTTGGCTAATTCTGGTGCATTTGCAGGGATGCTTATTAATGTACACTGTCCCTGTAACATAAATAAATAAACTTAAATGAAATAAAATAATTTTGGCCATGCTGTACAACACCTCAGATTCTCATTTAAATGAGTTTAAATGAGTGTTTGGAGGAAATTTGCTTCAGATACACCTCAGAGATCAATTTATGATTGTGAAAACAATCTCACTCCAAATGTGGATATTATTGTTGAAATTAAAAGTAAAAACTAAACATCTCTTCATTTCTAAAAAAGTAAAGAAAACAATCCACTGGACTTTGTTTCCAAGTTTGAAGACGTTTTGCTTCCTATCCAGGAAGCTTTTTCAATTCAAAATGTCAGAAATAGCGTTGAGTTTGAAGCTTTTTCTGACATCTTGAATTGAAAAAAGGTTCCTGGATGGGAAAAGAAACGTCTTCAAACTTGGAAACAAAGTCCAGTAGCTTGTTTTTTACTTTTTTGGAATGATTATGACCTGGATAACTGAGAAACTTCACCAGCATCTCTTAATTTTTTTTAAATCTTTTTTATTTAATTGTTTTTGCTTGTTATCCTCCTAACTAAGGAGAACAACATTTGGATCTTAACTTGTAAAGGAAACCTTTCTCTAGTCTAATGAACCAGTATGTTACCTTTTTATGAAAGAATAAACGAGAAGCATTAGATAATTAAAACTGACTTTATTTTTATCAATACAGCTGCAGAAGAAAGTGACATTGAGGTACAGGTGTTCACCTTAAAACAATCCAATATCTCATATCATAAAGAAGCCATGAGCTGCAAAAGTTCTGCACCTGTGAAAGTTTTTAGAAAATTCACCTCCTTGCAGAAATAATAAAATCCCAGTGATTTGGAATAGCAAAACATCCCAACGGAGTCGAGGTTAAAAGATATTCAATCTCCTATTCAACACAAAAGGTCAACAGGCAGAGGGGAGATTGCCTCAGCCAATCCAGCCAAACGGAATGAGTCACATCTTCAAGTCTACATAGATTAAAATGAAAAATCATCTGAAGGTTCCTGCATGCCAAAGAGAGAGGAGTGCGTGATTGTTCACACGGTAAACACAGCACATCAGGATACAATCGATTCACCTTTTGCCCGGCCAATAAAACGGGACGACCGGCCGAAGTCACCCAGAACCCAAAGAACCCAAAGCTGCAAGTAAACTCATTAAATCTCTCCAGATTGGGCCGCCGTCCCCACTCAGCTGCACTCATTTCCTCTCGCAGTACGTTTTGTAATTGCCACAGGCCGTCTGCAAATCCTTAATGAAGCCTGGGACGCCGCTCTGGAAGGGAAGAAAACAAAACAAAGAAAGACGCACATTAGTCAGGGAGAAGAGCCAAATGGACCCACCTAGGAGGAGCAACAAAAGCAACACATCAGTGAACAACATGAGGAGAATAATGGAGCAGAGGGAAGGACAGAGAGCTCCCAGAGGCCCCTTCACCCCAGGTCAGCAGTAAACACCGAATATCCAAACATGCAGCAGGAGAGATTTAGGGTGTGGGAAAAATTTCTCATTAATGATGGAGAGCAGAATAAAGCTGGAAGCGCAAACGTTTGAACAGATTAACGTTGGATTAATCAGTTTTAAACTTGACATCAATACGGTGGGAAACTATGGGATCAGATCTATGGGAAACCAAAGGGTCTGAATTCTGCATCCCTGCTCATGTCTATCATTAGGAAGGAGTTTTTTTACTTTTTTATTAAAATGATTAATTTATCCCAAACTATAATAATAATACTAATAAACCTTCATGATGTCTAAAGTGGTGCAAAATTATTTGACTAAAACTATAGTTTAATACATTCTGACAGGTCCAAACTGTAAAAACATTTGAGCAAAACAAGGATGAACATCAGTCAAACTTTAGAGACTGGATCCCGACTTAAGACGCTACGCAGAGGTTGCTGCTTTCCTTGTGGACTAGTTAAAGGTTTTAATTGGTTAGCCGACTGGCAAACGGTACAAAAAGATAACTGCCATCACCTTTAATGAGACCCGAGGTATAACAAGCGCCATCTATTGTTTAAATGGTGTCATACTTTACCAAATGACCAGTACGGAAGTCAAAAAGTCAATCTCAATAAACGGTTTATTTTTTCTTTCTACATTTTCATACAAAAATTTTTGTTTGTTTTACAGAACCTGCTATTTTAGAAATAAGTGAAAGAAAATCAAATATTTGGTTTAATTTGCTTGTTATTTGGTTCATATCAATCATTTGATTAATCAAAAACAAATAATATAAGCTTTTTGGTATTTTTTCATTTAAGAAAAAGTTAAACAGCTGTGCACAAGTACAGGTCACACCCAGACCGGGTGTCATCGTGCTAAAGGGTCAAGAAGGGTGGCTTTTTTAAAAGGCCAGACAGAAACAAACATCATGACTTTAAAGCATCTAACAGAAAGAGTTACAGAAAAATCTTCTGCCTACTTTTAATCAGGAAAATCAACCATTAATAGGTAACATTTCCATATTAGCTAATATATTGAGACTTCTATCTTAAGTTAAAACCTGTATTCACAGAATCTTTCAGATAAGTCATCAGTTCCAGAAGTTTTCTGGCATTCCTGTATCTCTGATTGTCTGATCCTGACCTGTTCTGCCTCTCCACCTCTGAGCCTGCCTGTCCCCATCTGATCTGTTTGCCTGACCCGTCTGCTGACTCCTGCTGGATCTCAGTTTATCGAACCTGGATCTGTTAGCCGACTCTGTCCGGATTAAACTCGGCATCTCTTTGGACCTCTGATCTCCTGGCTCTGACGGTTTTGGCTTCTAGATCAGCGGTCCCAAACCACCGGGCCGCGGACCGGTACCGGTCCGTGGGTCATTTTGGTACTGGACCGCACAGAAAAAAGTATATATATATATATATA